TTTATTGCCATATTTTACGTGAGTAATCCTAACTCCTATCTTCTTAAACCCAACCTGTCACGTGTTTCACAGTCCCATAATTGGAGAAAACAACGAAACTCAAATTATTCTGCTGTTCTGTTATCTGTTACTGTCTCTGGGCATTCCTAGAGGCAAACGCGAGAAACCGCCAAGGCTCTTATCTCAGCATGAACAAACCTGGATGAGCTGAAAACAGATAAATAGGCCCCCAGAGATCAAAAGTGCTGCACTCGATTCGAACGTTCAATCCCTCTCTTTAGCTGACAGCCGTAGATGCCTTTGTTACAATACCTTCTGGATCTCTTCATGTATTCCTTAATCACTGAGTCTCCGTGTGAGTACAGCATACAGCGGAATTAATTTTTTCGTTTCGGAATATGAACGGAATAGGCTAACTATACGAAGCATCGAACTGACGCGTTTGGCTGTGAATTAGCAACTGAACAAGAGTTTCAAGTCCCAATTGGTGGGAAACTTTCATATACTTAACATATTCCTGAAGGCAGTGGCGTATTTTACGGTGGGGGGGGGGGGGGGGGGGGGGCCGACCCCCCCCCCAACTCCGGTCTAAATGCATCCGCCACGCCCCCCCTCCTTCCCGGGGAGGATATGAAAGTCCCCCTTCCGTTCTGCTTAGCGAAATCCTGGCTACGCCACTGGTCCTCACTGCTGTATATAGCCCCTCTTTGACGTTCTACAAAGTACTGGAACAAACACTCTCGAAATTTCGGTAGATATACTTCTAGAAAGTTCCTGTGCCTAACGGCAGCATTTTTAAGTATTACGAAGGTACGAAGAGGCGTGAAGGGTCGCAGCGAAAGTTGTTGCTGAAGCAAAAGCTGAAACCTGGGAGAAGTTTGGAGAAGCGACGGAATCAAACGTACTCAAAGTTACGAATAAAGTATTCAGGAAAACCATCCACCGGGTTCGAAACGGTAAGAAGAGATCACTTAAAGTTCTTAAAGATAAGAACGAACTCATTCTTACCCTGGAAGAAGCCGTGCTCCACCGTTATAATGAATTCGTTTTCGATCTATTAAATCCAGCGTCGGAGCAAGGAGAGCTTCCCGAGGTTCATCTCAGGGCGGAATTGTCATAAGTCAGCGAGGCAATCAAGTCTCAAATCTGGCAAGGGTACAGGTACAGACAAAATTCGGTTGGAGATGGTAAAAGCCTTGGGGGGTACAGGAATACCCCGGGCCGACCCGTGTTTGTCTAAGGGGCCGTTCACAAATTACGTAACGCAAGGGGGAGAGGGGGGGGGGGATCAGACAAAGTGTTACGATTTGTTCAATCAAAATGAACATAGACAAAATAAAATTATTTCCTTGAAGAAAGAACCGAATGAAAGAAAAAACTTTCCTATCCTTTTTTAAAACATTTTAATCATCTCTCAATGTGGGTAATCCAAATGAATTACTTATTAGTGTTTAATAAACGAGTTTCTTTTTCAAATACATTTTGCTTGCTTATTTATCTCATTACTTTAAAAAAATTATGAAGTCAGGGGAGGGAGGAAGAGGGAGTTATATTTTGTCACGTAATTTTTTTGGGGGGGTTCGAAGCTTTTGTTACGGATTGTTACAGGGGGCGGGGGGGTAAAAAAAAGTTTTAAAATCACGTTACGTAATTTGTGAACGGCCCCTAAATGTTCTGAGAACTAGGGTCTTGTTTTTGTACCGTCAGGTGGTGCTCTGGTCCCCCTTTTAAAAAAGGGGACCAGAGAGAGGCTCCTATTATAGCGGCATCACTCTTCTCAGCCTTCCTGGTAATACATATGCCAATGTGCTTGAGCGGTGGGTTCGCAACATAGTTGATTCACAAATGTCCGAAGAGCAGTGCAGTTTTCGGGCTGGTACAACCAACCAAATCTTCACTCTCCACCACATATTTGAGAAATCGTAAGAGCATGTAAACCAAGTTTACGTGTGCTTCGTGAACCTGAAAGAAGCACACGACATGGTCCCTGACATGGTCCCTCGTCAAAAGTTATGGGAGTGTCTGCGGGAGCATGGAGTGGATGGTGAACCGTTACGAGCCATCCACTCCATACTCTCATCGATGAGCGAGACTCATCGCCTTCCCATTCACAGCAATGGATCGTCCTTTGAGTTTTGCCGAAGGTGCTTTAGGATTTAACTCCAGGTACGTTATAAATTGATGGTGGGTGGGACGTACTGTCATGACTTTGGTGTCGCGGAAATAGAGTCGTTAAGTTTTGAAAGTAACCATCAAGAAATGACGAACGCGTCCATTAGAGCAATGTGCATTGCCCCAGCCTAGCTTATAGTTGCGAAAAGCGAGCATAGATTTCACGATACCGGGTGTCCAACGTGGAATTTCAATGGTGAAATTGAAGTGGATCATGGTGTACCATCATTTCTATAAACAAGCAACACTTCAAGAACTCAGGCATGAAATTGAGGAGTCCTGCACTGCTATCCCAGCAGAAACCTGTGCACGAGTTTGTCTCTCTGTTGCTCGCCGCTGTCAACAGTGCTGGATGCTAACGGCGAACAATTTAAACATCTGCGGTAGTGAACCATGTGAACCATTGCTTCTCCACACACTAAACATTGTACATCACTGAATTCTTTTCATATATATTTTTTACTTATTAAAGTGTGTATACATTTTTTTTGAGACACCCTGTATATTATTATTCTAGGACCCGAGAGAAAAGGAGTTTTCCCCTCAGTCGCACATTTTTGCCTTTTCATTTCCTCTCCCTATAAAGTATAATCGAGAAATTTATGACAAAAAATACCAGTGTTTCCGTACTGGCATTTTATTCAATTACTTTACTATATACAATATATACAGTATATTGAATATAAAAAAGAAGAAAACTGGTCGAAGGGACTCAGTCTCCTTCTATTCCTTCATTCTAAAGATATATTGAAATAGGAATGTATATAGAGATTAGAGGTGTCCCCTTCAGAAGAACAACAGTCCAGTCGCTTGTTGGCTGTCCATAGACGTTCCCAATCCCGTACGTTAGAAAATTGAAGAGCGTACCCTGATTTTAATAAAGGGACGCACTTTTGACTGTCGAACGCACAGATATGAGAAAATAGCACAGTGTTGCAGATCGTGCATTAAGTTTTGCAAAACGTCCATCAAATATATGAAAAGGGGAAATTGGGCGCAACTGGGAAAAACTGCAAGAAATCTGTTCGCAGGTGACCTAGCTATATTGACTGCTACCGAAGTTGACCTCCAGTGTGCTCTCGATAGATGTGCTGAAGCTGGCATGAAAATAAGCACAACCAAATCCAAAGTTATGGTACTTTCGAGGTCCCCTGTCCAGTGCACTTTACATGCAAGTGGAGTGTCACTGAAAAAGGCGGAGAAGTTCAAGTACCCAGGTGTCTCATTCGCGAGTGATGGGAAACAGGACCAGGAGATTGATAGACGGATCGATGCAGTTGGTGTAATGATGCGAGAGCTGTATGGAACTTGAAATTTGAGCCTTGAGCCTTTTGACGCCACTTTCAGTCTTCAAATCAATCTTCATTTTGACCGAAAGAGTGAAGTTGCGAGTGCAAGCGGCCGAAATGGTGTTCCTCCGGACTGTTGGAATGACAAGACTCAATAGGGTCAAAAGTTCGACGATTCGAGATTTCCAGCGAGTCGAGCCGCTGCCTCTCGAGAAAGGTATACAGGGTGACCCCAAAAAAATGTCTCCCACTTTGAATATCCTTGAAAATCAGTTTTCAAGATATTACGATAATTCTTTCACTGGAATGTAAAAAAACACCTAGAATTTTATTTCTTAAAATGTCATGAACATGTGTTACATAGTGCATACTCAATTACAGTATCTTATCGCATGTTCGATCCAGGCATCTAGGCGCTGGACCGCTGCTGCGACCCAGACTTTGAAGTCATCAATTACTCTGTCTAAGATTTTTCCCGGAATAAATTCGCTTGACCTCTCTCCGAATGTTGTCTTTCAATGCTCCAAGGGTTTGAGGGTTATTGACATACACTCTCTACGGTTCCCCCAAACATATTCCTGAAGGCAGTGGCGTATTTTACGGTGGGGGGGGGGGGGGGCAGCCGTCCCCCTGGCGCCCCCTTGGAGGTACTAACTTTCTCCCCTGATATGGCTCGAGTGGGATTTGCCGTCTCCACTCTGTTGCCCTGCCCCCTCCCCTGACCTTTCAGCTAAAATGCGCCACTGCCTGAAGGGATTCCTTTACCGAATTGTGCAGGAACGCTCAATTCTAAAAATAAACAAAAAATTTCAAGGAGATATCCTACAACTGGAACACTTTTGTTCCGTATCCAATTACCGAGAGAACGCAGATTTCGCACTCGCTCCACTCTTCGCTCGAAATCGTACTGAACGCAGTGACATCTTCCATAAAACAAGGAAACTACAATGAGAAGGCTTCATTCACCCGACACGAACAGCAGCTCATCTCATCAGCCTCAGAGTCGGGTTGCACATAGCGAAAGCGATCGAGTTTCATGATTTGCCAGAGAAAGATTCCATTCCATTGGCTGAAATACAGGGTGGTAAATAAAATAAAACAAAAACAAAAAAAAACAAAAAACGTAGCCACTAGCTGGGAATAAGCAATGCAAGTTCGGATGGTCAGATCGTACTTTAATAGCAAGTTTTAAATACATAATGAAATCACACTCATTAACAACGAGAACGTAACCGTAAACCGTAAACATCACAATTGAATTTGAATCTTAAACTACCATAACGACATTTTCCCATTACAGTGGTAACATTTTTTGGGCCACCCAGGTCGAGAGCCAAACTTTTTAGGGTTCAAGTCTGTTTTTAAACCAGATGGAGCCAGATTATGCCAATGGAACTACGAAACCACAGGAGTGAGAATAAGTATGTTTCTCTATTTTTCAGATCTTCCTATTCGACGAAATAAAAAATGGCAGCGAGACTTCCAAAGACCAGAGCCGGACTCTGAACGGAGTGAGTGAAGAATTCCACCCATTTCCCAATGCCTCTGAATTCCCGGAACCTGCACGAATCCCTTTTGCAGCTAGTGTTGCCAGAGTACGTGATTCACGCGATCGCCACTCTCCTCTGTTTTCTCCGGGGATCGGGTCCCCCTGTTAATAAACATCCCCATGCTCGCATACCACGTCAACAGGTAAATTTCGTTTCTGTTCAAGATCGTCTGTGGCAGCGGTTCCCAAACTGTCGTACGAGAGGCAATACCAGGTGATACGCAAGAGGCTTCCAAAGAGACTTATTAATGATTTAAAAAATTTGCATAATAAAGTACCAGTCTTACATATGATATTTGATATGCATATGTGGGACAAGCGGTGGAGCGCACAGATCGAAAGTTTGGGAATCGCTGGTCAATGGGTTTCTCATTTTGCCATCGAGGTTGTCCATCCTTCGCCATCCTCAGATATAAAAATAGGCCTGCAACGAGTGGCCTTGGACTCTACGACCCCACAACCATCACGAATCCTGACGTCATTCACAAAGGGCGAAAAGAGGCTGGGATCAAACTCGGCTTCTATGTTTTTTGTTTCTTCTACTATCTGTATGGGTGAGTATACATTTTAAATATAAAAAATCGAATTTTTTTAATGCGGGTGGTACAAAAAAACCTGCGTTTTGCTTGAGGCTGTATAAACATGTTGGATTTGTTAATCTTTAGTACCACACAAAAAGGACTCTAAACATGTTATCATGAGAGTGTCGAAGTCTCTGGATTGTTTGGGTAAAGAGTTGTTGAAGCTTCGATAAGGAAGTTACAGTTTTCGCGCAGCGGTTTCAGCAGTTTCAGCAACAAATGCGTCTCATTTTTCGCAACAAAAAAAAACCGCCTGTTTGTAATGCTGATGTTACGATGATGCTGCACATTGGATCATCGCAATGTGCAGCATCATCAAGAAGGAAAAGTCACTGCGTAGACGGGTCTGTTCTCAATCGATTCGATTGCAAACACATGAAAAATTGCCTTTGACTGTACTTCGAATTAATGTCGCTTTTTATTCAGCCGCTTGAAACATTCAGGAAACAAATTTTTTATCGTTTTTTCAATGATATGCAAAAAGATTGTGAACCTACAATTCCCGCAGTTTATTTCATAAGGTGTCATACAGAATGCGTTCCTTTTTGTGCCACTCGATATTAGGAAATCGGTTATTGCAACAGTAATGCATGTTCCAAGGTATATGCATCTTATCTACAGGAAAGTTTTTCAGAATCCCCCCCCTTTTGTTTTAGTCCTAGGAGCACTCTGAAGATGGCGAGGAAAATATGGAAGCCTGTGTCTATTCATCGTTTTGGCGCCAACTTGTCTTATCGTGCCTGTTATGGAGTTGAAGTGGGTTTTCCGGGTCCAAGAAACATTTCGCTCGCGAACTTCAAAGTGCTCGCGTGGCTAAACTAGTATAGGGAAAATTCAGAAGGAAAAAAATAATTAGAAAAAAGTACCTGTTGGTACATGCATAGCTGTAGTTTTTACCGATTTGGAAATATAAACATTCCTAAAGCGGCGAGTTTTTTTTTCCCCGTACCCGGTATTTATGTTTCTGTATCATCCACTATTCTATCACTTAACAATTCTTGTCTTTGTTTCAGGACAATAGTATCCCTGATGGCACCGTGATGTCCCCTGATATGAATTTGGTTTCTTTTGTGAAATGCCAGAGAAGTTTCTTCACAATGGAGTCTCCTACAATACAGACCTATCTTCCAATTGAGATTTTTTTTCCTGAGTCTTTCACAACCTGGTCTGGGGTCAGAACTTCTCTACCACATCTTATAATGGTGTCTGTCCTTGTCTTTAACCTTTTGAGGTCAAAGTATTTTGAATATGTCGACGCTGTCACTCCGAGTTTTTTATTTTCCCCATACCATGGCACTATGACAGCGCGACAGATAACTCGGGCGTGGACCTGAGGGCTAATGTTTCTGTAAAAGTTTCTGGAGTGAGATGACTCGCAGTTGGGTATTGGGGGGAGAGGGTTGTACTGTAGTGAGTGGTGTGTTCCTTATTGTATTTAGCAGTCATTAGCATTACATGCAGCAAAGAGCTTATGAAGCTCAAGCAACTCTGAATCCAGGAATGAAAGGCTTTACCACCCTTGTCAATGTGTAGGTTTTATGACAAAAAAAGAAGTGAGGATTTTTTTCCCTTAAAAAAATATGGTTATTTGAAAATAAATTTATCTTTCAACATCTGCATCTGGATGGTAGATTACTCAAATGTGATCTAGATCGCCATGCTAAAACTGACTAGCAAGAGTGACATCTCCCCAGTATTGTGACTGGGTTTACACAGTCTTCAGATAGATTGTTACCCCTAGGGTTGGGACACAGAAAGCACTACTTCCAGAGGATTTGTTCCATCAGGCTATCCACAAAATAAACATTGTGGAAGATGGTAATCAATGGAAGCACTCCTATGAACAGACACCTATTTAACTCAAGAACAGTATATCCCATTCTCAACTTGGACACTATCACGCTGTGTGACTTGCCTGGCCAATTACTTCAGTAAGAAAGTATTGTAATGAGGGTTAACTTTCAGGATTAACTGTAATTATTTTGCATTTCCAGGTTTCACTCCAAGTAACACTACTTCTCCGAAGTTTAGGCTTAAGGCTAAAGTCCTTCTAACTTTGAAATCTACACCTAGCTGCTGCCACTTCACCAATCTATACTATCTAAAGACCCTGTGATCTAAACCCTTCAAAGTTTATAGAAGATGTCAAAAACCATCATTGGTAATTTCTCTGCCAACTAACTGAGAAAATTACAACTGATCTGCATTCCCTCATCGTTAAAAACACCAATTCCTAATATATATTCCCAGAGTGCAACATGAATAGTACCCCTACTACCAAAATTTTATTGAGAAGGGAGCATGCAACTCTTGCTAGTTATGGACTAGTCTTAAGTTTGCAATGGGGTTTTAGCAGACAAACAGTAGCCCTCCCATCTAATGAACTCAATATTCACCATTATCAAACAGCCTTTAACCTTGTAAAGCACCTCCCCTCATCCTATCCTGACTTGCCTCTAGCCAGCTTCAACATCACTCCCATCTCTGAAGATGACTTACTGACATACATTCTTAAATTATCAAATGAAAACCTCTTGTGGACTTGATAGTATCACCCCCCAAAGCAATCAAGTATTCCAGCAATGCTTGAAACTTTGTCCAACTACTAACTCATTTCTTTCTTTGCATACTATCTACCTCCATTTATCCCATGTACAGTATTTCGGAACTGCAAAAGTAATCCCTCTCCCTAAGATAGGCAACCCTTCCAACTACTGCCCCATATCCCTACTATCAACCATAAACAAAATCCTTGAGAGGCATATCTTCAATTACCTTCATCAGTTCCTTCTAGATGCCAATGTCTTCTTCCCCTACCAATCAGGACTTAGGAAGTATCAGTCAACATGCTCTGCTCTCATTAACTTCACAGACAACATCCTAAAAGTCATGGATTTGATATATGTCATGGGAGTAGTCCTTGTAGGTTTCAATAAAACTGTTCATACTATAGAGCATAATATCCTTGCTCATAAATTGGCCATATATGGATGTTTTCTTATTCTCTTTTCTCTTTTTATTCTCTCACTTTTTATCTACCATTCTGACAAACAAGTTACCCAAATCCAAGGAGTTACACCCTCTCTGACCCTCTTCCAACTTCAATATTGGAGTTCCATAAGGTTCAATTCTTGGGCCATTGTTATTCATCATATACATAAATTATCATCCATTGAGGATAAAAAAAAAAGGCAAAAGTTGACATATATGTGGAAGACACCACAATTTACTTTTCCCTTCCAAGTTCCCTAGTTGTTCAGGGGATCCTCCAAATTAAACTTCACAACCTTCAAAACAGGTTTACAAAAATAAAATACATACAAATGCCAGTAAGACCCACTGTACTCATAGCCCACACCAACAGGCCTGCATCAACTCCAGTAAAAGTTCCACAAGTCCTTACCTTAAATTCTGAGCCTATTAAACTGCCACAAAAAGTCAACTCTAGATGCACACCTTTCTTATTAAGATCATAACATTTCATTATGGAAAAAATCAGTCAGAATCTGTTCCTCATCCATTCAATATCTCCACTGGTCTCAACTAATGAACTCAAATTACTTGCAAATGCCCTTGTTCTTCCCCACATTGCACATTAGGACCACTAGCCTCTAGGCCAGGAGTCAGGAACCTGCAATTCATGAGCCAAATTTGGCTCACAAGCAAAAACATATGGCTCGCAGACTGCAGAAGAGAAAAAAATGCGTTTTTTTCAAGAACAATTTCCCTGTTTGTTGCCAACTTCAGAAAAAATTATGTTGCTTTGAAAATCTTGCTCACAAGCATTTGGCTCAACCTTAATCTGGCTCACATGGACGAAAAGGTTCCCAAACCCTGCTCTAGGCTGACTCCATTATATAAACTGTTTGTTGCATCATCAATTCCATACCAATAAAGATTATTATTATCATCATTAAGCTGCCTCTACCCGTTGAGAAGCTTAGGCCTATTAGGTCCAGAAGATGAACGTCTGGTTCTCGGCTCGGTTCGCTGATACACTTCCTTGTCGTGACGGCCTTAAATTTTTACACAATTCAAGCTGGTGTTTTTTTACTTGAGTCAGATATTTTTCCATTTGATTTGGACACACGTGCATGGGACGCTCCTCATGCATTAGCGTCAAGTTGGGTGAAAAATTTTGTCTGACTCAACTGAAAAAAATAAAACAGTAAAAAGCACATTCGCCACAGCACATAATAGTTCAAACTTCAGTCACTGCCGGAACTTAAGACTAAGGGAAATCCACATGGTGTTTTCCCATTGGCGCCATGTCTCACTTCGGATTTCTGCATTTATTATGGATATTTAGAATGGAAAGTCGTGCACCCTACGTTATAGAGCTACAGCTCCTAGCATGTCTTTCATGCCAGATAAATGCAAAATAGAAGAATGCTATTAGATTAGGGTGACCAGATTCTTTTTAGGAAAAACAGGGACATGAAAATGCCCAAATGTTAGTCCTTGCAAAGAGGAGAAGCCGGGACACAAGACTGGAAAAGAAAATTCAAACTGGGACTGTCCTGGTAAAACCAAGACGTCGGGTCACCCTAAATTAGATAGTGGGGTTTGTTTTTTCCCCGACCTATGATGAAAATAAATTCGATTAAACATAATAACCGGTGCCCGGCCCTCATTCCAGTCCTCGTCCAGGTGCTCGTCCGATGCAAGGCCACTGGGTCTGGCGATTGTCACTGATCCATCGCGAGTTCGATCGCTGTTGCCACGATATGTGTTGTTAATTTTCCCTGACAATGTATATATATAGTATCTCATCCATCAACACTGTCCTGGAGCATTGCAAGCCGGGTCCATGGCCGCGCCCAGGTTCCTTCAGCTCTGTTGGATCCTGTCATGGGTGTGCCTGTTATGTTGCCTTTCTCTTCAATACTGGCATTATTTTTTGCTTATTATGTTAGGCCTAATAATATTTGCAGGAACTTTTTAATTCTTTGGGCAGACTCGTATCCAACATGTCCTTTGAAAGCCGAAATTCTTAACGGAAACGTCATTCTGAATCCCCGTAACGTTTCAAAATTCAAGATAGTGGTATCAAGAGGCGATTTCGCCCATTTCGATATCACGTGTTCGAGTGCAGAGGATCTAAAGTATCATCACTTTGGGCTAGCATAACATTGCTCAACATGAGTACAAGGTGCAGGACCATGCACTTCAGAATATTATTAATTGGTAGTAGTATTAATTGGTTGTTAGGCCTGATTGTGAATGGTGCCATGACATCAAGCCCAGAGAGAAAAAATGCCTCACATTAGTTTCTTTATGACACCTTAGCTGGACAGAGGAAGATTGAAGTGTGTGCATGATCACTTAACGCTGTAATCTATTTTCATATATTAAGTATGCACTCATTCAACTCAACTTGGTTGTGAAGTGTTATTTTGCATGTACTCTTTATCAAGCACATCCTCTCTTGTTAAGGAGTCTCAGCTACCATTTTGCCTTAGTGTAGAATGCACACTCCATCATAAGTGGGCTTATTCATGTATTATGGTAATATCACCAAACCAGCATTTCTCAACAATGGGTCTTTGGCAAGGTTTCATGTTGCCCATACCAAGCCCAGGAAAAGGAGTAAGTAGGAAACAGAAGGAAACTGAAGTTAACATGTGCAAGTGTCTTACAGTGTTTCCAGGTTGACTTTTACCCCTGTTTACATGTGCGTTGTGCTTTTCTTTGGACCCTGCTATCAAGTTGTTCAGTAGCAGTTCCCATGCTCATGGGGGGATGTTGTACCATTGACTTCACTCATTGGTATACCTATTTGCAGTTAGTAGTGATTGCAAATTGCTCTAGGAATGTTTTTTTTATAACTTTGGTATACTTTCATGGGTTTTATTCTATTTTTCTCTCCAGTATTTTTCATTGAGACATTGAAAGGTTAGATACTGTAGGTAGATTACATTGACTTCTGCAGGTGACTTCAGGTGATTTTCTCATGCACCATAATATTGATTTAGGTTAGTCAAACATGGATACCCTGCTTTGATAGGAGTGTTTTATATTGAGGAGAATAAGGAAAAACTGTTTTAAAATTGAACTTGCCTTAACTATTTTAGATGTTGCTCTGCTCCTCATAAAAGTAAAACTTCCTAAGACCAATAACCACAAAGAACTTGAGTAAGATTTTATTTCTAATTTCTTTTAGCAGTTCTAATGGCCCTCTTGTTTAGCTGAATTTGACCTGTATTTCTAGGTCTATTTTAGGCCTCAAGTTTTGGCTTATGATCTTGGTTTTGGACCTAAATTTAATATCACGCTACCATTATGCCCAGACCTTGCAAATTGAACATGCAGGAAAGAAAATGCTATTATAAGTTAATAGCTTAAGCCTAACATGATGCTTATGGACTTTTGTGAGTCTAGGTTCATGCTGAAACTCATCATTCACACTTTCCCTATTTATTAAAACTTTTGTTTTTTTGTTCAGTTGTGAGTGTGTTTGATATTGTGGGCCTGTTCCTGAGTTCAGCACCAGGTCTAACAGCAGGGATTGCATTGGAGCAAATAATTTCTTTAGCCTCAGAAACTGGCACTGACGAATTGGTTTGATATTAGTGACAGTCCATCATGACGTTCACATTTGCAGCTTTTTCTTACATGGCAGCATTAATCTTGGATGCATTCCTCATATTCTTTGCAATATTCCATGTGAGTCCTGTATCTCCATTTGTAAAACCTACTTATAATAGTAGTCTATCAAATAATGTGGTTTGTGATATTATAGTCTCATTTTAGGTGTACATGTTTAGGTGTATTTTTAGGGCAAGGTTATCCTTGAGCTATCACGGACTTAATACTGGTTGTCCATCAGTGAAATAATTCATTTTAATGGCTGCCTAATTATGCCTGGCCCTAGGATCTGGCTTTGCTTAGACCTCATGCCTGTTTTGCCAATATATAAGCTTGGAATAGGGCTCATGTTAAACCTATACTTAGACCTATGGGAGATCAGTCAGTTTTTCTGACTAATGATGGTACCTATTTTTCAGATCATTGCATTCGATGAACTCAAAACTGACTACAAGAATCCCATTGATCAATGTCAGAGTCTCAACCCTGTGAGTCTTAAGGATTCTTCCCCATGCATATCTGATTGTATACGCATCTGCATTTTGAATCCATTGCTCATATCCTGTGTATTTTTTTTTCCTTTGCAGCTGGTTTTGCCTGAGTATGGGATACACATATTCTTCAATCTCCTCTTTCTTTTCTGTGGGGAGTGGATCACACTGATGGTAAACATCCCCCTGATTGCATACAACATCAACAGGTGAATTTCATTCTTGTTTAAGCTACAAATTAAACCTATAAATCTATCATCTTTGTGACTTATCTCAGCTATCCATCTTCCTCACAGGTATAAAAATAGACCTGTAATGAGTGGTCCTGGTCTGTATGATCCTACGAGCATCATGAATGCAGATGTACTTACGAAATGCCAAAGAGAAGGCTGGTTCAAACTGGCCTTCTATGTTTTCTGCTTTTTCTACTATCTGTATGGGTAAGTGACTATTCCATGAAACATTCATATTTCCATATCAATATTTCTGTGTCCTATGTGCATGTCTTGTTTCTTTTCCAGGATGATTACTTCCCTGATTGCAGCATGACTTCCCACGGACCCAGAACTGTACTCTTAATTTGGATACCTAGTCGTGCTCAAACTTCGTGATTCAAATTGCTCCGAGGCATTGATATCCTTGTCCCGTTTTGTTTTCTTGTATGAACCAATCTGTCAATCCATGAAATAAGTAAATACTCTTTTTGTTACTGAATAGCACATTATAGTTGCATACATGCAATTTTCCAGACCCCATTGAACTGATATGATTGGAGCAGGGGATGCTCTAAAGAGAGCATTCATTGTTGCATATTCCATACCTGCTTATGAGATGCATATACAAATATTATACATTTTCAGTATTCAGGTGAAATGTTGAATGTGCCCTTGCAATGAAATTTTATATGCTTTTGGTGTTGGGTTTTGGCATGTCTCTCAAAGAAAGCCCAATGTCTGATGAGATGAAAAGTAAAGAGGAGGAGAGTCAAAGGAATGGGAAAGAGGAAGATGAGGAACATGATGAAGATGAAGATAATGGGGAAGAGATCATCACTCTTGGGGATTTAGCCCAGGACATGCAAGACCTTGAGGAGGATGCTAAAGCAGTGCTTGGTCCTGCAGATGACAAACACTGCACCTACTTGCAGGTGACAGCAGTCCTCCTCTTTCTAATGATCCTTGCCATATGAGGCAAAGTTGATAATGGTGTATTGAATTGCTTTCAGGGCTCCATGAAGCGCCAGGCCCTCTATGCATGCCAAACATGTAGCCAAGGATCTGAGCCTGCTGGAGTGTGTTTGGCCTGCAGCTATGCTTGCCATGCAGACCACCAACTTGTTGAATTGTACACAAAGAGGTCTGTTGCATGTTTGTATGTGATCTTATTTTACCAGCATCCAATGTGAGAGAAGTTCTAATTCTTTTTCTTTTTCTCATTTTCAGGAATTTTCGTTGTGATTGTAGTGTGAGTGCAAAGTTTCCCTCCAACAAATGCAAACTGGAACCTGTAAGTATAATATTTCACATTTATTGTCATTTTGGTATTGCTTGCTCCAGTGTGCATGTTATGTTTCTTTCTGACTGTCACCTGTTGTGGTTACTACCATTTTTATTGGGACCAATCATTATGGTTTTTTATGTATCAACTCACATCAATATAACTGGTGGAATTCATGCATAAAAGCTCTTGTTCATAATTGCATGCCAAACCTGAAAGTTTTCATCCTCATTAGCAGAAACATGAATTATTTATTGTTCATTTTCTAGCTTTTCTTCCCTACTTCAATATAAATGACAAATATTGCATTAAAGGAAAAGGGCAATTCCTTGGGATATTAATTTTTCATTTTACATCCATTGCTTGAAACTCCTTGCTGTGATCACAACAAGTAAGTGATCATTTGTCAACTGGGGATTTTTCCTCCTCCCAGTCTGAGCCATGTCCAAAATGCAGACCCTAGATCCTCCAGGAAAACAGATTCCAGGAGAGAGAAAATTAAGGGTTGCCTATTGAGCAATGTTTCCTATGATGCAAATGTCTAGTTATTGAGGAACATGATGATGAGTAAGGAGCTTTACAATGTCAATTTTGACCAAAAATTGACTGCTATATATGTGAGGTGCAAATGCATGAAATTATAGACTGGGACAAGGTTTCTTTTAGAATTGAGTTGAACTGCATATTCTGAAATGAAATATCTATAGTTTGATACATTTCTGTTTCCCCCAGACACATGATGATGTGAATGAACAAAACAAATACAATCACAACTTCAGAGGTTTATACTGTGTGTGCAGTCGTCCCTATCCTGATCCTGAGGATACTGTTGATGATGAACAATTCCAGTGCATAGTATGCGAAGACTGGTTCCATGGCAGAGTGAGTTAAACCACTCAGAGCTGTAGGCTTAAATTTTGTTTAATTCTTACTCCTGTTCCCTTGAAGTGATGCATGATTGTTTGTTTGGCTTTATTTTGGAGCAGCATTTGAAAGCAGATGGTACAAGGATTGAAAACGAATTTGATGAATTGATTTGCTTCCGCTGCACTCGGAAGTTCCCATTCCTTCTGAAATATGCTTCATTCTCTGGTTGGTCAGCCTTTTGTTTTGATTGTTGTTTTCCTGCAAAAGTTAATCACTGACCTCTAGTGCTCAATATTGGTATTATGTACTTTGTAGTGAATGTTTTGCCACCACCAAAGGAATACAAAGAAGATACTGGTGAGGAAGTGAAACTGAATGGAAGTGATTCAAAAAATAATCTGGAAGATTCAACTGCTGCAAATGGTGCTGCTGAGGGTTCGAATACCTGCACAGTTGTTACTAAGAGTGATGTCAAGGTCGAGTCAGCTGATGTGCATTTACCTGCATCTCCTTTTGATAAGGTAGGGACGTCTATTTACACCAAGTCTGTGAGGCAAAATACATTTTTGCACAAGTTTGCTGCTTTCTACATGATACTTGAATGTTTTGAAGGAATAGGTTTGCTGTTATCCTATGTGCTAGGATATTCTGTGACTTCTGCCTTGATCGTGATTTTAGTTATTAATAATGTAAGATCATGTGATTTCTAAGTGAAGTTTGGCCAATTTCAGCTTTGAGCCTTCCATATTTGGGGAGCACATGTCATTTTATCACATTCAAATGGGTGAAAAAGACCTGTCATATAACTTTATCCAAATGCCCACTCATGCAATCCTCTTTGAATTTCATTGAGTCATGTTTAAATGTAGCATACTTTATACTACTGACTGAAAGTTGTGGAATTTGTATTGAAAATGAGCAGTGATCAAGTTCTTTTTTGCTTTAGGCAGAAGGCATGCTCATCCATTTGGTCATGGCTTTCTTTTCCCATAGTGATTTCCACCTCTTTCAGTCAGTAGTGGGAAGTATTGTTCATCCAGAAGTTTTTTGAGGAGATGACACTGATGTCTATATATGCTACTGAGATAGGTTAATGTGTACACATCAGCACCCCATTACATTTTTTATTTATTAACTACATCCTGTATTCAAACATAATGCAAAGAAAATGGAGAAAGATTGTCAGCATGAGAATTTGCATGCAATCAAATTCTTCAAATCAGTTAGTAAAAGGATCTATACATCACATCTGAAAATTAAGCAAGAATTCTATCATCCACTTGGAAATGGTAATGGAGTGATATGTGCCTACTTACAGCTCCTTCAAAGATGTTTGAGATTTCACATTTCTCTGCAGAGCTGAACAAACAAAAAAATGCACTTTTTTTTTCTTGAATTCTTTTATTATCAGATCAGGCTAATATGAGAATTTAAGAATTCCAAGTTTCAAGTGTGCCTATGAAAATTTCTAAGACATGGAAATGCATTTTTCAGTGAAGAATGTACTGCTTACTTCCAGGCTGGAGAGCCATCCACAAGTAAGATGGAAGAAAAGGTTATCACTCCATGTCGCTTGTCCTCTGATGCAGGTGAGACTCCTGAATGTCTGACCATTTGTTGTTTTACTGCTGGAGTTGACTCTCTAATCAGGTCATGGGTAGTGTATCTTCTGATTGTAAATTTAGTAACCCCTCATTCTTATTATGTGAAAGCAGTGCTTGAAAAATTCAAATGATACTGAATCCATAGTTGTTGTGAAGATGTTCAATAATTTACCAATTCAGAAGTTCATATATATATATAATAGCTGGTACATACAGAAGGTGGCTCTGGTTGAATGAAAGTACATTGTATATCCTTTCCAATTATTTTTGACAGAACAAGATAAACTTTTGTGGAAAGATAGAGCTTCAACATATCCTCCTCTGATGTCCTTTTTGACCAATGTTGAACAGCACACTTGTTGGCTCTCTTTTGCAGGCATTAGGGAATTCCTGCCTCTTGAGCTTGAATGATGTTCAAGTTCTAATCAGACAGTAACTTTTATTCATTTCTCTTTGTATATTGGCAAGCAAGCCATATCTCACAACAGTAAGCACAGTTCAGATACCAAAAGTCCACATTTTCTTACCAATGAATACCAGGAATGATAATGAATAAATACACTTTTCCCTTGCATTTGGATTCTCATAGAGGTACTTGCTAACACTCTTATGTTGGACAGCAGCATCTTGCTCTTCTCCCCTCATTCCACAGGGAGCATGAAAGGACTGTCTTTTGAGCTGTTAGGGGCATACCTAAAGCCCTATTTCTAGATGTAGCAGATATTCCCCCTGTAAAAATTCCCCCACCCCTTTCAATGAGTAAGATGAGTCTGAGAGAATTCCAGGCAACTGTACTAATTCAAATCGCTACTTTTACCCTTTAACTACTTCTTTGTTTATAAAAAAAAGAATCAAAAGTATGGGCAAATAGCAGCTAATGTAAGTGATAGACACACTCAGGGAAGTGAGGCATAGATATTCAAAGGCCGTTGATTTCCTCGAGAAAAACTCTTGAATTAGGAGTTTCTGAGTGAGAGTTGGTCTGGAGGCTGAATTTTGTCCTGTTACATATGATTTCTGAGGGTAGGAGGTTTATTTATTTATTTAGAGATCATAGATTTCTTGCTGGCATCACTCATATTGTTAGGGATGATTTGGAATTTCAGGTTAATAAATGTCCAGTGGGTATGACTTCAGTTTCATTTCTTTTTATGCAGGAAGAGATTGCCCTAGTGAGGGTTCACTTCTCTTTTGTTTATCTTGGAGAGATGAGCTTTGTTCCTGCCCCTCTTGCCTGGTCAGTTCATGTGGATTTTTCCTATTTCCAATTTACAAATATTGAGCATATCCAAGAAGAGAGCCGCATGAAAAACTTATCCCCCTCTTTCCTTGGTCTAGGAAATGTATGAGAATTTGGATTTGAAGTTTCTCCTATCGAATGAGGACACTGTGGCTTTCTATGAATCTCAAGGAGCTCACAAGTCCACCCCAGACAGGATGGCAGCCGACTTCTCCCGTCTCCCCCGTGCCGGTGTCTTGGAAACCATATATGGTTGGTTTGATCTGGTTGTACATGCATACACAAAAATTTCTCATGTGTTGAACTATTGTAATGCATTATTACTGCCTTCTGCAGCTTACAACACGATGAAGACTGAGCTGGCCGAGTACCTGAAGAAGTTTGCAGAAAACAAGAAGGTGGTGCGTGAAGACGACATCAAAGAGTTCTTCGAGGAACTCAAGGCTCGCAAGAGGACCCGCACCAATGCCTATCAGAGCAGCTGCTCTTGAGATCTCTTCTGCATGTTCAAGTTGTACAATATGATCCATCTTTTTTTTCCACCTGTGATATCTTCCCTGGTGGATCTTTTTTTTTTACAGTTTTTTTTTCTTCATGGAATAGGGTTCATCTTGTCCAAATTTTTTTGTAGAATGAGAATGTGATGTCAACTTCTGCACTTCATGTTCAATAGACTCTTGGACTTGAAAGATATTTTTTTTCATTTCTTGAATTGGATATGAGGAAAGTCAAAGTATCAAGAGAGGAAGGTACAGGTGGGAATGCCTTGCTCATACACTTGTTATGATGCATTCGATGGAGATCCCAGGAAAGAGCTGCCAAATGTTTTGCCGATTGCATGTCTCTTGCAAGTGGCATTAGGGGGTGTAGAAGTCAGAGTGAGACCACCAGTGAGAGAGGCGATCGACAGAGGACAAGACTGATCCCAGGAGCTGAGCGTCCTCCCATGTCTTCCCCGTGGGAAAGGTTTTTCCGGTGGTAGTAGTGCCAGTCAGTGTGGTCACCAGGGTCTGAAAAATTTGGAGGAAGCATTGGATCATCCGATGACCCAGGCACTGGGAGCATGTAGTTGACTTCTTCAAACTTGGGTATATTATGTGTCGTTTTAGGTATTATGCTGGTGGGGGAAAATAAATGTATTTACCTGCCGAAAACCAATATTTTTCCTTTAAAATGTATGGGACAATAAATTCTCCAGTGCTGACTGACCTCGATTTTCTTTCCCAAGAGGCGTTGCTAGTTTCATTTTCGTAGGAACAAAAGTGGGGTCCTGGCATCACCGGATGGAAATCACTTTACCACTAGGTGTTAAACTAAAAATTAATCTTAAGGATTTTGTCAAATCTATAATAAGCAGTCCCGGCCGCAGAAAACATAGCTCAGCATTCCAAAAAGAGGCAGACTCAACCAAATACCGAAGAAACTAGTGATTTCGCTTGTGGAGGCTGAACCCAGATGCATGAGATATTGAACCTCCTTGTACTCCCGTTCGGGGAAAAGAAGAGGGATGGAGGGACCTCCCCCCCCACCCAGCTATGCCGTTGCTTCCCCTCGTGGACTTCAGCGGGGAAATCCTTAGGTCCTTTAAATGAATGCAACTCGTTTTCCACGAGTAGGCCAAAACAACAAAACAACAACCCAACAAAACCGTTTTGACGGCTAGATTTGGTTCGCGAGGAAACGTCGAAAACCTGCAACGTTGAAAGACGTCAACGGCGCTTACTCGGGTCAGCCCCAGTCAGAATAAAAAAAAAAAAAAAAAAATAGCGATGAAGTAATGTCAAAGATGACCGTCAATCATGTCATTTCTATATTTGTCTCGGATCGTTCTCCATTGCATCCATTTTCGACATTGGGCCATCTATAGATATCCTGCACGACTGCTAATTTTTCGCTGACATTTTCTCAAGAGTTTGCTCTGCACTCTTAGCCCCATACTTAATTATACAATCATGGATTTTATTTTAGCCCGTCAAAAGGGATTCAAAGGCATTTCATGGAACTCTATTATCCCCGGAAGAAGCTTTCAACTCTTTCACATTTTCAACAAAAAAAAGGAGCAAGGGGACCCCCGAATTTTGCGCGAAAAAAATTGCACAAAATAAAGAACATCCAACTCGATAAGGCCCAGGCATAGCGAACTCAGAGAAAATAATCATATAAATCATGTAAGTCATATAAATAGCATACATACCCTGACATTCTGCACGAACTGGGCTGCGAAGGACAGAATGGCGAGGATGAGGAGAGCAAACTCCAGCGAGGGGAAATTCACTCCGAACTGTCTCGCTTCTCCATCGACTGTTGCGCAAAAAAACGACATGTAAATAGCGTGTAATTTTCTGTCGTGCAATTTTTTTTTTTTGCATCATTGTGTGCGAGACCCCAAATTTTTTTCGGCAACGAATTGCCGATTGCAAATTACCTAATCATTAACACCACTCTCCTATAAGTGCAAACGAAATCGTGCCGAATTTTTGCGCGCTTCCCCGGCGACACCCGGTCACGAAGCCAGGCACGAATCGAACGGAGCCGAGGGAAATCCAGTTCCCGGAAAAATGCGAGGAATCGGAGCGAGAAGTCACGGTCGGCTTCGTCGTTCCGCCTCCCCGCCCCCGTTGCAACCCCTTCGCCGGCGAGGGCGAGACGGAGGGGCGGAGGCGAGTTTCCCCTCGGGTCATCTCGGATGCCCGAGCACGCCTCTAAAAGGATGCCCAAGCACACCTCTAAGCGGATGCCCGTGCACGCCTCTAAAAGGATGCCCGTGCACGCCTCAAAGGATGTCGCTTGGGAAACCCTTGCTGCTGCGGGGCGACCAGCCGTCCCGCTGTCTCCCGACGAAGTAAGCAGGACGCTAAAACGTCCCGCTTTCGGGGAATGTCGAAGAAAATGACCCGACGATCCAATTTCTTCCCTTGCGAGTCTCAGAACTTCTAAACGAGCTAAATCCAGCAAATATCATGATCACGTACGTCAAACCTAGTGTCTTTTTTTTTTCCACCCTTGGCAATGCGAATTCGGATTCCCGAGCGACTAAAGAACCAAAAAAGACGCTAGCCCTTACCATGAAGCACCTTCTCCCGATGCAGGCGTTGAGGCCGCCCTCCCAGCTATCGATACTTTTAATATTCCGTGAACAAAGCGATACCCTTATAGTTGTTAATGAGCCAAGCTGGG